ATACTTATCTACCATCTCTATACATGTATTTGTTTTATTTTTATTTATCGTTTCTATTTATATTTAGAGCTGTAATGCACTCCAGAATCTGTCAGATTGATTAGCTGTAGGCTCTAGATCAGTCATCTGAAGTGTTGTCATACAGTGTTATGCTGGATTTTATCAATAGTCTTACAGTAACTAACACAGACAATATCTGATGTGTTTGTAAGTAATTTGCGTTTTCCTCCTGTTGAAAAACGTCATAAGAACAATGTTTAGTGGCTCAATGTATTACAGCAGTGTTTTTAAAAGTCTAAACACTTTATTGATATAGTGTACAACCAAGCACAAGTGGTCAGAATACAAACGAGTCACAGGTGATAAAGTATTAAGCATTTCTCCCAAAGTAAAGTGTGTCTGAACCAGGTCCAAGCTAAATGCTAGCAGGTGTCTGTAGCTCCGCTTACTCTCCGCCTCTTTGCCCTTGTTTGGTATCCCGCCGTGGGTGTGATGACGCGTGACCAAAATGGCGACGGTTGGCCGCGCCTACTTGTGGCTTCTTTTGCGCTCTTCAGAAACCTATGGGTGACGTCACGGATACTACGTCCATATATTTTACAGTCTATGTTCACAATCTGGCCTTAAGGCGACGGTGAAGCTGAATAATAAAAGAATAATGCCCACATTAGCCTATATACTCTGTCTACATTATGCATTCATGATTTAATTCATATATAGTTGCAATTTGGAAATCCTTTACTCCAAGATTAGGCTATGTGTTTTTGTGAAGGAGCATTATTGAATCCACTGTAAATGCCTTTACCGCGGTCCTGCGCTCACCAATAGTGCGTCCAGCAGCACTGAACACCCTTTCACTGCTGCTGCTACAAGCCGAGATGCATAGTTCTGATCTAGCTAATTTTGCATCTTTTGGGTAGGATTATTGGTTCGTCTTCCACCAGCCAAGAACATCCATTTTATTTTCCATGAGAGTGGTTTCAATGTAGCGAGTGACCTTGTCATTTTCCCTGTCAGCTTACTGTACATTGCTGTTTAGCGCTCTAATGTTGTAATACGCAGTGTACGAGAGATCGCCGAAATACCACGGTGGCTAGAATGACTGTCCTTTTTGAACTGGCAGCTGGCCAGACAGCAGTCAAAATTCACTCTTTTTGACTTATTCGTCATCATTTGTTTCACCTTTGCAGGGACGGATTTTAATGTTGTAACTAAGATTTGATTGTTTTCTTGCACTATTCGAAATGCATCACACAGCCCGACCCAATCTAAAATGATAGAAATTAAGCCCGAACCCATCGGGTCCCGGCGGGTTCGGGCAAAGTTCTTCAGCTGTAATAAATTGTTAACCGCTGAATCGTCGAAATCTAGCTTTGGCACTATAGGAACAAATCATATTTTTTAACTTTATTAAACCCACTTTAATTTGTGATGACATTTGGTAATAATACGATTTTTACAGTATTGATTTTTATAAAATCAATGGAGTTTTATTAAGCATGAGAGACTTTTTCCAAAAACATTTAAAAAAATGTTCAATCCTTCGAAGGTTAACGCACATTAAACAACAAGACAGCTCTGATTTTTGTAGTATATGCATAACACCCTTGTCAATATCTCCCTTGAAATGTTCCCAGGTGACATTTTTGGCCTAAAATCAATATCTATTTTAACGAATTGCCGTCTCAGCTGATCTGTATGCAGCCTGAGAAGTGGAGGAACTCCATTTAGAGACATGAGCTGACAAAAGTGCAGCGTTCAATCTCCATATGGGCTTTAGCCTTCATTCAAATTAAACGACATCGAGACAATGGAGCCGTCACTGGCCAAAATCCATCAATCATGATCAGTTAAGAGCTGTGATTTGTCTGAATTATGCCAATGCATTATTTAAATATAGACCTGAAGACTGACTCCATCAACTAAAATGAGAGGCAGGAATCCAAATAAAAGCACGTTTCCATCAAGTTGCTCGCCATGAGGAGAATGTAAATGTACAGGGACAAATGAAGCAGGGGCGCCACTTCCTCTGTAATCGAGTGTACGGAGGAAAGAGACTGGCTGCGTTCCAAATCCCAGCGAGATGCCTTAGTGCCTATTGTTCACACAGACAACTGCCTACTCAGGCTGCATCCTTAATTCATTAATGGTCCCCTGTGCAAATAGAGCTCCTCATGAAAAATGCACAGACTTAAAGGCTTGTTAAAGCTCTAAACAATAAACAGAACAACAAATAGAACACAATCACTGTGTTTTCCACAAATGTTTTTTTGTTTGTTTGTTAAAGTGCCTTGCTTGTTTTGTAAAACACTGCTGTTCTAGCATGGTATTGACGTTACTCTTCAGTGGGCACAGCCATTAAAATTCTTTTGGTTCGAGACTTCTGGTCTCATTCACTTCTATTGATTTTTAGATGTTAAAAAAAAGGAAGTAGATGTTGCAAACTGATATTTTCTTATTGTGTTAGTCTGCTTTGTCTGTATAGTCATGAACATTGTAGAGCAAGTAGTTTAATCATTTTCTGCCATTTATCATTCCTTATCATTTATCCCATACGCAAATAAATCGGAAGTTCTAAAACAATATTGAATATTGAAATTGAAGTCAGAATTATTAGCCCCCTGAATTACCCCCTACCCCCCCCCCAGTTAATTTTTTCCCTAATTTATTTTTCCCCAATTCAATTTTTTTCAACACATTTCTAAACGTAATAGTTTTAATAACTCATTTCTAATTACTGATTTATTTTATCTTTGTCATGATGACAGTGAATAATATTTTACTAGATTTTTTTCAAGACACTTCTATACAGCTTAAAGTGACATTTAAAGGCTTAACTAGGTTAACTAGGCAGGTTAGGGTAATTAGGCAAGTTATTGTATAATGATGGTTTGTTCTGTAGACTATCAAAAAAACAAATAGTTTAAATGTTTTTTAAAAAATTAAAAACTGCTTTTATTCTAGCCGAAATAAAACAAATAAGACTTTTTTTCAAGAAGAAAAAATATCACACAGTGTGAGAAACTTCCTTGCTCTGTTAAACATTTAAAAAAAAATAATAATAAAAATATTCATAGGGAGGCTAATAATTCTGAATTTAAATATACATACATACACACACACATACATAATATAACATTATATATATATATATATATATATATATATATATATATATATATATATATATAAATTAAAATTATTTATTAACAGTCTAGATAAATGTAGTATATATTTAATATATTTTAAATGCATCACGTCTGTGTGCTTCTCTTCACAAAAAGACTGAAAGTTATGTGCATTCTAATGTTATGATATTAACAAGCAACAGTGAGTCAATCATTTTATTTATACTGTGGGGGAAATAAGTATTGAACACGTCACCATTTTTCTCAGAAAGCATATTTCTAAAGGTGCTGTTGACTTAAAATTTTTCACCAGATGTTGGTAACAACCAAAGAAATTCAATATGCAAAGAAAACAATAATAATAGGTTTACAAATCAAGTTATGCATAATAAAATGAAATGACAAGTTTGAAGTTTGAAAAAATTGAACACATGATTAAATGGAGGTATAGAAAGGCGGTAAAAGCCCAGACAGCAGCTGAAATTACTTAGTAGTAATTCAACAACAGTGTGAATTAATATTAGCTGCTTCAGTCCAACATCTACATTAGCAGGATGATGAAAATAAAACCAGGGTGGACATTTAAGCAAGAGAATGATCCAAAACACAGCTAAGAAAACTCTGAAATAGTTTCAGAAAAATAAAATCAAGCTGTAGAATGCTCTGGCCAATCACCTGATTCAAATCAAATAGAAATTACAAATTTAAAATCACACCTGAGCGATTCATATGACTTCATTCTCCACATGAGAGATGTCTTTAAGCTGCCATCATCAAAAAAGCCTTTTATTTAAAGTATGAAATACAGTTCAGTAGTTCAGTACTTTCTCCTTGTGTTATTCCACAAAACTAATTTTTTAGATTTATTTATTTTTTATTTTTTATTTTAATGTTTGTATTGTTTGGGTTTTTACCAAAATCTGCTTTAATTCCATGTCAACAGCACCTTTAGAAATATTAATCCCAGAAAAAAACCAAGACATGTTCAATACTTATTCCCCCACTGTATACAAGTTGTGTAGTTATACAGTTATATCTCGCATTGTCTCAGTTTGACTGAGTGAAATGCGTAATTTAGATTGAATCAGACCGTTTTAGGCTGTCAACATGTCCACATGAGCACAGTTTATATGAGCCTTCTGACCAGGGTAGCACTATTACTACACTCCGCTGTTTGTTTGTTTTTTAATGGTAGGTTGTACACTTATTTGGTTTGAGCAGTGTTGATTGGGCAGAATGAGAGTGTGCTTATTTAATCGGCTAGCAATCCTGAGGACAGTAAGGAACTTGATCTTGGGTGCATATTTGTGTAATATTTAAACATGTACATTTTAAAAAGATCATAAACTTAGATATACAAATTTATTTGATTAGGTTTACTATCGTTGACAAATTGACTAAACTCATTGCACAAGAATGTATTCTGGCATTAGAGAGAGAGAGAGAGAGAGAGAGAGAGAGAATTATCATTAATCTATTTTTATTTTTAATCTTTATATTTTAATCTATAATCTATTTTTTTTATTAATATTTTTAGTTTTACTGATATATTGTTATTTTTATTAATCTATTTTTATTTTTTTACATTTCTTTTCTTTATTTCTATATTATATTTTATGTTCATATTTGTTTGCACTACTGCCCTTTTTGCACTGTCTTGTCTGTACGCAGCGACGTTGCACTGCTTTGGCAATACGAATGTACAGCTATTTGTCATGCCAATAAAGCATCTAAAATGTGAAATGTGAAAATGTGAGAGAGAGAGAGAGAGAGAGAGTGAGAGAGAGAGAGAGAGAGAGAGAGAGAGAAAGAGAGAGAGAGAGAGAGAGAGAGAGAGAGAGAGAGAGAGAGAGAGAGAGAGACTATAGCTACCTGTTGGAAGGGGTTGGCTTGACCCAAATCACATGTGAGGTAATACGGCAGGATATCTGTGAAAAAAGATAGAGGTGATGAGTCAAAACGCCAAGAACAACATTAAACAACAACAACAAAAAAAGAATTTAACATGAAAATAAGGACACACTCAATCACTTTTTTGTTTGCCACTACAAGAATACAAAACATACAAAAAATACAAAACTTAAAAGCCGTTCTACATGCACTTTAAATCATTACAAACCTGCAACAGGCTAAAATCTTTTTCCCTTTCTTTCCACTTCACATCTGCCCAAATGACAAACTCAAACCCTGACACACTATCATTTCCTGACCTCAGAGCGCCCACAGCATTCATGTCAGGTATCTGAACAGTTATGTTTCCAACCACGAAACCACTCTAGAGTCAGTTCACGACCGACCCCACTCACTCCAGCTAAAGTCAAACAAATAATTTCTCTCCTGCAGAGGAGTATTTCCAAGTCAACGCACATGAATCGATAACTCATCAGAGACCAATTCTGCAGATGCTGGGCGGGTTGAATACATGCTTAAAAAGTGTTCAAATAAAGCTGGGATCACTTTTAATGATAGCTGATATGATTAAAAACACTAAACCTTCAGTCCCAGGGGTGCACATAAATATCTTTCACCTTGAGCGCAGGAGGTAGCAAGTCCAAATCTTGTTTAAATGATGATTAATAATGTATATGTTTGTCAGTGAAAGTGTATCAATAATTAGAGTCATACTGGGTCACATTTCATTTTGGGATTTCATTGGAAATAAAACAAACAAAATGAGTGACTTTTCAGACAGAAGTCGGCATGCGTAGATACTATTTTCGGCAAATGTGAAGAGAAGTCACAATCACACATTTGAAGAGTGCTGACAGATCCTTGAGTTTTTAGCAAAACTGAAAATAACAAACGTGACATGACGTTCCTAAATAACAGTAGACTCTAAAAATGCTGGGTTGTTTTAACCCAAATTTGAGTTATAGTAAATAATAATAATAATATATATATATATATATATATATATATATATATATATATATATATATATATATATATATATATATATATCTATATATATATAGTTTTTTAACCATCTGTTGAGTTAGTCAATTTTACCCCAAATTTGAGTATAAACATTTTTTTAAGCATAGTTAAATGTGTATGTGTAGGTAGGCAGGTAGGTCGGTCAGTCAATCGATAGATAGACAGACAGACAGACAGACAGACAGACAGACAGACAGACAGACAGACAGACAGACAGACAGACAGACAGACAGACAGACTGACAGACTGACAGACTGACTGACTGACTGACTGACTGACTGACTGACTGACTGACTGACTGACTGACTGACTGACTGACTGACTGACTGACTGACTGACTGACTGACAGACAGACAGACAGACAGACAGACAGACAGACAGACAGACAGACAGACAGACAGACAGACAGACAGACAGACAGACAGACAGACAGACAGACAGACAGACAGACAGACAGACAGACAGACATAGATAGATAGATAGATAGATAGATAGATAGATAGATAGATAGATAGATAGATAGATAGATAGATAGATAGATAGATAGATAGATAGATAGATAGATAGATAGATAGATAGATAGATAGATAGATAGATAGATAGATAGATAGATAGATAGATAGATAGATAGATAGATAGATAGATAGATAGATAGATAGATAGATAGATAGATAGATAGATAGATAGATAGATAGATAGATAGATAGATAGATAGATAGATAGATAGATAGATAGATAGATAGATAGATAGATAGATAGATAGATAGATAGATAGATAGATAGATAGATAGATAGATAGATAGATAGATAGGATAGAAATGGTCCTGTAGGGCCGGTGTCCTGCAGATTTTAGCTCCAACTTGCCTCAACACCAGCAGGGATGTGTCTAGAAAGTCTAGTAGGTGCTTGATTAGCTAGACCAGGTGTGTCTGATTAGGGTTAAAGCTAAACTTTGCAGGACAACGGCCCTCCAGAACCGAGTTTGGTCACCCCTGGTTTAGGCGAACCATCCTTTTACATGTGCTTGCTGAATAAAAACAAGAATTTCTTCTAAAATCGTATTTATGCCAGCATCACTATTTGAATCAATGACGTGTGACTATGAAGATACATCATGCACTGAGAATCCAGACTGCAGTATAAAAAAAACACTTTCTATTTTTGCACAGGAAATGGTACTAATTCACACAGTCCTCTCACAAACCTCCACACGCCAACGCAGATGGAGTCTTGGGCCATCTTCATGCGCAGCTTGCAGCATGTTGCGTGGATGCGGATCAAAAACAGACACATGCGTCAAAGCGGTGGGCTTGTTGAAGAGGAGTGATGCTTTCATCACTATCATTACCCACGTGGACAGGCACATGGCAGCGGTCACTGGCAAAAGCGGCAGCAGTGAAGCATCTAAAAACGGCCTATGAACAAGTCTATTCTCCATTCCAAACAACCGGCCTCCCTGATTGGCCAATAAATGGTATAATTATAGCAATGATTAGGGGAATAAATGGGCCTCTCAATTACACCCATGGATGGCTGTATGTAAAAGACTGAATTAAGCAAAACTGGTGTATAATGTTGGTTCTGGCTGGATTTATAGGCTCCAATAGTATTCAGGGCTTCATCCATCATGTGTAAATGACCTCCGGTAATTGTATTGTAGTACTGGCTGACTGGCGATGCCCATATCAAAGACAATGGGATGGCTTCCAAAAACGATCTGAGTGGAGGTAGAGCTTTAAATCCCACTCACGCTGTGATGACTACAGGCTGTAAAAGATCCTGATTCATGAGAGGCTGGGTGCATGCCAGAACACTGGAGAAAAGGCGAGAAACACTTCATAAATAAGATCTTACAGTGATAAACTTAACATTTTACATTCTTCTGAGTAAGATGTGCTTATAACAGAGGAGAATTATAGCGGCAATTATTTTCATTTTGTTATAATTTAACAAAAGTTGTATAGCTCAACATTAGTTAATATTTCCTGATATCTAGTGAGACTGTAGTAACGTATTAAATGAGCCTGGTTTCTCTCAAGGTTATTTTCCTTCACTTTCTTCAACTGGTGAAGTTTTGTTCCTCAGCACTATGGCCCACTGGCTTGCTTGTTTTGGGTCTTGTGGAGCTGCACATTGATGGATTTGCTCTTCAGTGTTTGACCTTTAACGGTGCACATTTAACCACACTGAACTGAACTAAACTAAACTGAACTACAACTCTGAAAACTGGACTGACACAGTTTCAATTTACTACAACTTCTATGTTAAGCTGCTTTAAAACAATCAACATTTTAAAGTGCTAAAGAAATAAAGATGAATTGAATTGAATAAATTTTTGGAGGGTTAGCTAAATTATAAAACAAAAGTATTTTACAGATGTACACCAACTATTGCAATGATTTAATTATTAGTATGGCAAAAGTGATCATTCTGGCTGTTGATATAAGACTGCACAAAACTGAATTGTTATATCAAGTCATTATAACATTCAAAACTTCTATTGAGAATAAAATGAATGAGAATGAGACTTTGAATGAAGCTTTGACTGTCTGTTGCCATATATTATGAAGTCTTTACCCTAAAAAACATATTTTTAATAATAAATAAAGCCTATATTGAGTATAATATATTGTCGATAATTGAGTATAAACCACCTGTGAAGGTGCAAACCTCACTGAAACCACAAGTTTTTACCACAGTGAAAATGTTGTTTTGAAAGACTTTTCTGAAGTAAATTTATGTTTTTGCATCACAATTTGTTTTTTATGAAAAAAAAAATGCTAGACAACTGAGGCACACGTATTCAAAGTAACGAGAAATTGTAAATGTTGAAACGCATTTCATGTTTTTTTGGGGATTTTAATGTTAGAATGAAAAAGTTAAAACGGTTATAGGGATTTTATTTTAATTAGGTTATTTAAAATGAAACATTTTAAAATGGTTATAATGGCTGCCTCTATGGTTAGTGTTAAAACTAAAAGTGTTCTAACAGTTTTGATTAAGAAATTTAAAAGTAAACTTGTTGCAAGCATCACATAACATTGCTAGAATGTTTCTAATATGTTAGCCTATTAGTGTGTATTTAGCATTGTTAACATTATTTCCGTCAATGAGCATGATGTTGAAACATTTCAAAAAACAATAAGTGGTTTTCTAACACAAACACAAATAATTCTAACACACTTAACATTGCTAGAATGTTTTTATTATGTTAGTCTATTAGCATAAAATAGTGTGTGTCTAGCATTGCTACCATTGTTTGCATCAATCAGCATGGTGTTGATTTGCATAAAAGATGAATTAAATGGAAAAAATGAGTGGCATTCTAACACGAATAATTCTAACACGCAGAACATTGCTAGCATGTTTCTAATGTGTTAGCCTATTAGCATGAATTAGTGTGTGTCTAACATTATTTTCATCAATCAGCATGATGTTGCTGTTTCAAAAAACAAATTAGTGGAATTCTAACATATGCATAATATGCCTGCTGCAAGCAAGAATTATCAACGTATTAAACATCAATTAGCATTTTCCGGGCCAGTTGCTAGGCTTTCTACATGTGATAGCTAGATTGATCAATGATAATCTGAAGTTTGTAAGCATTATAGCTGTGGGTTCCATTTTTGGGAAATAAGAGTAAATTTGGTGGTTTATGTTTATGGTTAGGTCTTTATGAAACCAACATAATAAGGAATAAAGTAGATAACAAAAAAGTTAGTGAGATTTACTATTTTAATTATAGCGGAAAATGCATTAGTCTGTAAAAAGCCTCTTTAAACACGTCTATATTAAACACCCGAGCACAGAAGACATGCTGGGCTTTCCTCACAGAAGGGACGTGTGCTATTTGTAAGTACAGAAGCGTCTTGGTTCTATTCTAGTGAAGCGCAGTAGGGTGACTCATGAGTCTGGGACAGTGATAGCCAGAAGGAACACACTCAAAGCTTCACTGATCCCTTTCTCTCTGCTTTCCATCCACAGCCATTAA